GGTATTTTAAGAGTTCTCATAATGTAGTTAGCAGGTGTTTCTAAAATGTTTTTATCACCACCCTCAATAATCAATCCTTTACATAAGTTTATTGCTATTGCTGTTGATTTGGGTTTAATTTTCTTTATTACATCTGGAATACATTGATGAGGTATACAAAGTATAATAACATCAGCTTCAAATTCTTTATCTCTATTTAATTCTTGTAAATTAACCGCTTTGAGTTCAGGTGGTAAAATTACAGACGGTAAATGTTTTGGATTAACGTGATATTTGTTTATAGTATCAATGATATCGTATGATTGTCCTTGATATTCAAGTAAACTTGTACGTGTGTATATGTTTACAGTTGGATTAAAATAAACACTATCCTTCAAATTTTTAGTTATGTGTTTTCCAATAGTTGTACCAAAGTTTCCACATCCTATAATAGCAACTTTCTTTTTATTTTCCATCCTTGTTAAGGGGCAACATGTATTTTTTTAACAAATCTGTTAAAGGATCAATTATTTCATTTATTAAAATTAATTTAAAATCGAGTTACATCTTTACTTGTACTTTTTTCTTCATCGTAGTGATTAATAAATTTAGTGTTTATATTTTTAAAAGAATTAAGGTTGTAAGAGTTTAAACTTCTATCTTGCTGATTAATAATTCGTTTTTGTTGAAGTAAAGGATTTTGAGAAAGAGAATAAAAATTTACTGTCTTTTGAGGTTGTTGAGACATGCTGATAAATTGAGTTTCCTTAAATATATTTTTAGGTTTTTTAACATTAGTTTTTTTAAATTCTTCTATTGAATTTGAGAAAATATTAAAATCTTCTGCTAATAATGAATTACTATTATTTTGTATTGTTGTTTTTAATCTCATATTTAAAGAATTAATATCATTAATATTTTCATTATTATTTACTTTTTTAATCTTATTATTATTTACTTTCTTAATTTTATTATTATTTACTTTCTTAATTTTATTATTATTTACTTTCTTAATTTTATTATCATTTACTTTATTATTAATCTTATTATTATTAACTTTTTTATTAGTCTTGTTAACCTTTTTGTTTTTATTTAATTTTTCATCTTCTGGTATAAATTCAATATTTTTATTACTAAAACCTAAATAACTAAATTCACTAATTGGTAAATTTAAATCATTAAACTTATTCTCATTGGATTCATTAATTTTTTGTTCTAAATTAGATAATTGTGAACTTAATTGATCTATCTTATCATTTACTTCATTGATACTGAATTTATTCTCAAATGATTCCAGTTTTTGTAATATCTTCTGGTAGCTAGTTAATATTAATGTAAAGACTTCTTGATTGTTTTGCATGTATTAA